GGTGAGAGAAAATCTAGTCTCCTGCAAGCAGACCAAGTCGGCATGGCAGGATGAGTAGTAGGAGAATGCTTTGTTTCGTTTGTGCGGCGAATTCAACCCCTGGACGTTATGGGAGACAACATTAAAGCTATTGGCCATGGTTAACAAGCAGGAACATTAGACAACGTAGGCAACCCGGAATAATAGCCCCGTGTGTACAATAACTCACGAAAAACCCGTGGAGGAGTGACCGGAGCGTGGTATTCCATATCACCGATGGACCGGGAGGGAGGGAGAGGAATCTAAAGAGGGAAAAGAAAACAAAAGCCCCACAGCGGGCTAGGTGAACAAAGAACAGTAACATAATGCAACTCAGAAAACTGTCCCTAAGGACAAGTGTCGCAGATAGCGAGGTGGAAAAATCCTCCCTCCTATCCGCCGTTCTCAAGGGGGGGTGCCAATCACCCGGTCCCCCTAGAGAGCCTTATGTAGCAATCTTATGAACGTAGCACCAGGAACGGTACATGTACAAAGGCAGATGGCGCTGGTAAGTATAAAAAGAATAACAGCATATAACTCCCCAGGGCGGCACTATACACGTCCTGGACTCAGTGCTAAAAGAAAAAGGAGTGATCAACTTGGTGGAAAACTGGTCTCAGATAGCGAGGTGGAAAAATCCTCCCTCCTATCCGCCGTTCTCAAGGGGGGGTGCCAATCACCCGGTCCCCCTAGAGAGCCTTATGTAGCAATCTTATGAACGTAGCACCAGGAACGGTACATGTACAAAGGCAGATGGCGCTGGTAAGTATAAAAAGAATAACAGCATATAACTCCCCAGGGCGGCACTATACACGTCCTGGACTCAGTGCTAAAAGAAAAAGGAGTGATCAACTTGGTGGAAAACTGGTCATTGATCCAAAAACAACACGGATCGAATGTCAGTCAATGGGCGGTAGACATAATGTCACCAGTAGGGAGCAAACACTGGGTTCTCCGGACAGCGTATCAGGTAGGATCGTGGGGTGGAGCGGTCATCCTCTGTTTTCCAGATTTATATGGTTGGGAGCGTCGAGCCTTCTCCCATATGGGACTTGGAGGTACGCGTCTCGAGCTTTGGGACGACTGAGATGGTTCCCTCTGGGATGGTGGCAGCAGCTCGAGATCCAAGAGCGCCTTCTTCAGGTCATCTGGTGAAGAGGGGGAGTAAGAACGGCCATTGTGTGAAAATAGGAGCCTGAAGGGGAGTCCCCAGCGGTAGGCTATGCCATTATTTTTCAGAACCTCCAAATAAGGCCTTAGGACTCGCGACGCTGTATGGTGGTAGGCGAGAGATCAGCGAAGACTTGGAATGCAGTACCTTGGAAGTGCAGGTCTTTTTTGTTCCGGGTGGCGTACAGCACTGCCTCCTTTGTACGGTAATAGGTGAATTTAACAATTATGTCTCTCGGGGGGCCTTCCGGCCTTCTTGGGGTCAAAGCCCTATGGATACGATCAAATTCTAGGCAAATTCTAGGCAGAGCAGTAATGGTGGATTGCAGGTCTGTCACCGATTCTGGGACCCCACGGAAGCGGAGATTGCCACGGCGGGCCCTGTTCTCCATGTCTTCCACCTTATCCATAATGGCAATTAGGTCAGTGTTAACTGAGTCCAGATCTTGCTCATGGGATTCAACAACAGTAACTACATCATCCATCTTTTTTTCTAGAAGGTCTGTACGTGCGGTAGACATAATGTCACCAGTAGGGAGCAAACACTGGGTTCTCCGGACAGCGTATCAGGTAGGATCGTGGGGTGGAGCGGTCATCCTCTGTTTTCCAGATTTATATGGTTGGGAGCGTCGAGCCTTCTCCCATATGGGACTTGGAGGTACGCGTCTCGAGCTTTGGGACGACTGAGATGGTTCCCTCTGGGATGGTGGCAGCAGCTCGAGATCCAAGAGCGCCTTCTTCAGGTCATCTGGTGAAGAGGGGGAGTAAGAACGGCCATTGTGTGAAAATAGGAGCCTGAAGGGGAGTCCCCAGCGGTAGGCTATGCCATTATTTTTCAGAACCTCCAAATAAGGCCTTAGGACTCGCGACGCTGTATGGTGGTAGGCGAGAGATCAGCGAAGACTTGGAATGCAGTACCTTGGAAGTGCAGGTCTTTTTTGTTCCGGGTGGCGTACAGCACTGCCTCCTTTGTACGGTAATAGGTGAATTTAACAATTATGTCTCTCGGGGGGCCTTCCGGCCTTCTTGGGGTCAAAGCCCTATGGATACGATCAAATTCTAGGCAAATTCTAGGCAGAGCAGTAATGGTGGATTGCAGGTCTGTCACCGATTCTGGGACCCCACGGAAGCGGAGATTGCCACGGCGGGCCCTGTTCTCCATGTCTTCCACCTTATCCATAATGGCAATTAGGTCAGTGTTAACTGAGTCCAGATCTTGCTCATGGGATTCAACAACAGTAACTACATCATCCATCTTTTTTTCTAGAAGGTCTGTACGTGTACCTATTTCTCTGATCTCCTTAGTCAGGGCCGCAGTAAGCTTCTCTGAGGTCGCCGTCAGCTCAATATGAAGCATAGCTCGGATTTTTTGCAGGAGGTTTGCATCTCTGGAGTCATCCGGTTCATCCCCTTGGGTCATGGGGAGACTGTCCAGGGACGATGAGTCCTGTGCGTCCTGGAGGAAGAGTGGTGATGCAGAGTGCTCCGGAGTGCCTTGTGCGGCCGCCATCTTGGGTTGTCCCCGCCTTTGAAGGCTAAAGATAGCTCTCTGGGGATCGGGTGTTGCGGAGCTTTGTTAGTCCGCGGCCATCTTTCTCGGCAGCTCGCCACGCCCCCCCTTATCCCTCTAGCTTTAACGCGTCTTCCAGACCCCACTCGATCTTCACTGGCCACACCAGCCATCTCCTCCAACACTTCTTTTTCTTCCATCGTCTCTTTCCTGTCTTTTTTCTTCTGCTGCTGCTGGAACCCCATCACGGACTGCCAAGACTCCACCTGCCCCAAACTGGCAAAGGACTGGACCGACTGGCACGATGAATCAGACAGATCCGAAACCGTGTCGAACTCGAGTGCACTCGTATTACTCGAGAACTGTTCTATGATTTGGGACGGAGACGCCTCCTCAACCCCACCATCCATCTTTCTTTTTAAAGATGCTACTGGCAGATCCATTTCCTCCTCCTCAAGGAGACCCTCACCTTCCGCCTTACTTGCTTCCGGGGCAGGCTCCACACCTTCCGAGTCCTGCACCCCAATGGCTTCACGAGGCACTGGGTTCTCGGCAACAGTCACAAGCGTGTCACCCAGATCACTGGCGACAGCACCTGCCATGACCCCGCTTTGGATCTGCCCTGGGAGGGCCCCTTGGGCAACCTCGGAAAACGACCGGGTGCTATCCTTCTCCACCACTGTCTCCGAGGTTTCAGGCACTACTGCCTTCTCCATCTCTTGCCTCACTTTGGGGCATTGCCGGACCAGATGGCCTACCTCACCACATATATGGCATTTCCTGGCCTCCTGGCAATCCGCTGTCCTATGCCTGGCTTTAAAGCAGTTTCGACACGTAACACCGGTTCCACACTGCTCTTTTGTGTGCCCAAACGAAAAGCATTTCCGACAAAACAGCGGCTGCCCAGGGTACCAAAGGTACTGCCAATAGCGAAGGCCTGCGGGGGGTGTCTCGATCCACATACACCATCCTGGTTACCCTCTTAATTGCACCCAAAATTTCCGTTGCCCATTAAACGTGCCAAACACGTTTGTCATGCCTACACCAGCAGAAACTGACACGCAATATCTGGATAGGAACGCCCGTATCTCCTCATCCTTCACAAAAGGATTGCACATATGCACCATAACCGGGAGACGAACCTTCGACTCATTACATATAAACTGGATACCTTCGAGTTGTTCGTCCCCCAGCTTCACGAGCCTACGTGCCATCAACGTCTGTACATCTTCCCTCTTCCAAAATGTAATATCGTACATCCCAGAGCTTGGGAAAGCATGCATACAAAAAATACACTCGCGCTTCATGCTCAAGAGATCTTCAGCAATGGTCTTTTGTACAAAAAACAGACCTACGTCAGATCTCCTGCCCTCGGAAACCCACAGCCTTACTGTATTGGGAGCTTCAGGAGCCAGTGCAGCCATCCTGAAGCAAAAATCGCACCACACCAAACCACAAGGTAAAGTGGGTTAAAGAGATCGCCCCCGCATGTCCCTGATGGTGTCCCACCCAATAGCAGCAGGGGGTGCACCCGAAGGAAAACACCCCCAGGCCGAGTGGGACTGGCACCGGGTCCAAACCTCCGACTGCAGACCACAAAGATCGCAGCCAAAAGGCCGAGAAGATGCTGCATATAATATAATAACATTATTGCTAATTATTATCACAGCAATGAATAGTAATATTACATCAGGCAACTTTCAAATAAGCCCCCTCTTCTATTCATTGAGAGAAAAAAAAAATCTTTAGACATTCCAATCACTTGTACATTGTCCTTTCTAGAGGCATGAAAGTCATCAATCTTAACCTACATAGGCTGGCACAATCCTTAACTGATGTGCGTCTGAGACCCCCACAATTTACGACCTGAGTCTTTGTCTCAGAAAGAATAAACTCGCATTGACCTTCTATCAAGTAGACAAAATGGCTACCACGATGCCCATATACAAATCTGTAAAATAATATGTACAGGCCTTTGAAATTGATTCCTTTCTGCCCAATAGTTCTGACATCTTAACTCCCGGGATTTCTGCAGTCCTTCCCATTACAAGTAATAAAACACAACCATGTCATGTAGGAGGGCAAAGCATGAAGCAGAGCCTGCATATGTAATAAGCAAATACAGCTGCACCCTTGTGCAAGGTTTTCAAAATATTAACAAAACATTGATACAATTAATTGCATCAAAATGTGCATTCCATTTAACAATAACATTTTTGATTGAAAATATTTAAATTACAGAATTACAGGTTATGGGTCGCAGTTTTGTTTTTTGGTTCCTAACTCCATCTTTATATATTTCAGAAAAGAACAAAACTGGCTATAAGAGCACCAACAGTGAGTACTCTGCTGCTATGTTCCTTCTCTATTCCTGTGTTACTCTGTGTAGCATTTTATATTATTATGATTTATAGACTATAATTCTTATGTAGGGTTCTCTAAGGCTGTGGTTCTCAACTTGTGGGTCGACCCAAAAGTGTGTTCAGTGGTTCGCCCCATGCCGTCCACTGCGCCAAGCAGCCATTCAAAATATACTGCCCAGTGCTGAGTGTCAGCTTGAAGTGGGGTGGGCAGGGCTTATGAGGGAGCCTCTTCTATACATGCATTGCTTACAGCTCTCTCACTTACCCTGTAGGTGCACAAGGGCCCGTGGACGTGCATCTCAACAAACTTCCCCCTGTGAACAAAAAAAGTGAACCGTGAAATCACAGCACACAAAAACGTGCACAAGGGTGCAAGGTCCTTTCGAAGAAGGGACCCATTTCCCGACCCCCCGGGGCGCAAGGCTCCTGACAGGGGTTGAGATACTATGGTCCACCAACCCGGAGGCCGGTGGACCTTTCCTCTGGGGACCTGCCGAAACAGGTCCCCCATAGTACTTAGCAAGTGGGCTCTCCCGAAGAGAGACCCACTTCCTGGGTGGGAGGAGGCAGAGACCCCCATAAGAGGCACAGAACCTCCTCCCTACATCAGGAATAGGCCCCGAAGGAACCTGCACCTTCAGCAATCTGTGGGTTTCAATCAAAAAAA